ACGCGTGGACATAGCCATACGTATCGACAAGTCGCTCGTGGACATCGCTACGTAGTTGCCAATGTGCACCACCCATGGACATGCGCTAGCTTACGGGCCGGTATAGCGATCGTAAAAACTCTTATGGGCCTGGCCGCTCTCATTCTTCTCTCTGCTAATATCTTATTGTAGAAGGCCCTTTAGTTGCAAATCATAAGTCACAAGTCGCAAAGGATATCAACTACCAATTAAAACGAATTAGGCTGGATCCTCATGCAGACATCGGCGCTTTGATATCAATCAACGCTCAGTGTCAAAGCGCCAGTGTCTGCATGAGAATCCATCCTTATTTCTGATTATTTTTGATAAGATATTTACAATTTGCGACGGAAATAATTAAATAAACACCGATATCTGACATAAAAAATCGATGCATCGATATAATGATAAGGAAAACATCAAACCAATTAATCGATTATTAAAAAGAAAACTATCGTTCATTTCGATTAATCGTAAAATATCGCTCATCCCTAAGAATGGCGTATGGACTAACTTAAATCGGTCCTTTGAGCCATATATGCACCAAACCAGACCTCAGTCTTCTCTCTGCTTGTTAATTGTATAAAACGTGTACAAGGATATTTAGTTTTTGTAAAAAAAAGTTATTGTTCAGCACAGGGTAGAAAAATGCTAACAGCAGCAGCAAACACATTGTCTAATAACGGTGGTTCTTACAGCAATGAAAGACCATCTCTTGCAGGTGACATGGATCTTGCAACTGATCCAGCCTCTGGTGGATTTTTCCACTCTGATTATAAAAAGTAATTTGTTAAATTAACTTGAGTTACCTAGAGAGTCATTTAATATATAGAATCATAAAATAAGTTATATATAAAACAATTTTATATATGACAAATTAAACCCTTACGAAAAAGAATTACTGGCAGTAATATATCGCGGCAGTGGTACGAAAGAATTACTGGCATTCTGTGTAATTGCCAGTAATATTCTCAGTGATTCCTGTAATACCTAATAATATTCTTGTGTGATTATCAGTAATATTTATATTACTGACTTTATTTATATGTAATCAGCAATAGTTCTTTTTCGTAAGGGAATATACTAGCATTTCTGTATGAATAGTAATAAGTATTATCAGGATCATGTATATCACACGCAGATATGCAAAAGTAGAATAACTTTTGATGTATAAAATTTTGTCAAATGAAAACTTTTAACATAAGAATATGTTGTGTTTTAGACATGAAGATCTGAAGGAAATGTTAGATAGTAATAAAGATGGACTTAAGCTGGAAGCTATGAAACGTATAATTGGGGTAATTTAGAGAGGTTTGATAAATATGTGATAACACTGTTATTAGCATATTTTCTTTTCAGATGGTAGCTAAAGGCAGAGATGCATCAGAATTGTTTCCAGCTGTTGTAAAGAATGTAGTATCTAAGAACATAGAAGTAAAAAAGTTGGTGTATGTTTATCTAGTTCGGTATGCAGAAGATCAACAAGATCTTGCTTTATTATCTATATCAACATTTCAAAGAGCTTTGAAGGATCCTAATCAGCTAATAAGAGCAAGTGCTTTACGAGTACTATCTAGTATACGAGTCTCTATGATAGTACCTATTGTAATGCTTGCAATTAAAGATTCAGCTAGTGACATGTCACCTTATGTAAGAAAAACTGCTGCCCATGCCATTCCTAAATTGTACTCGTTGGATCCTGAGCAAAAGGAAGAGTTAATAAGTGTACTTGAAAAATTGTTATCTGACAAAACTACACTTGTTGTTGGTTCAGCAGTAATGGCCTTTGAAGAAGTATGTCCAGAAAGAATAGATCTTATTCACAAAAATTATCGAAAATTGTGTAATTTATTGGTAGATGTTGATGAATGGGGCCAAGTGGTTATTGTTAATATGCTTACTAGATATGCCAGAACACAATTTGTTAATCCAAATATTGATGTAAGTATAAGAAGTTTTAGAGAAGTATATACTCTTTATACTTCATACAAGAGAAATAAGATAAATATAAAAATTTTAATTGCTGAAAATAATAATGCCAAAACTAAGTATTAATAAGAAATATAATTTTTATATTAGAATTTAGATGATGATGTAAGTCGGCCATTTTATGATTCGGATTCTGATTCTTCTAATACAAAGAAACTAAAGTTCACATTAGATCCTGATCATCGCTTATTGTTAAGGAATACAAAACCTTTGTTACAAAGTCGAAATGCATCTGTAGTAATGGCGGTTGCTCAGTTGTATCATCATGCAGCACCTAGAAGTGAAGTTATGACTGCTGCAAAAGCACTGATAAGATTGTTGAGAGGTCATCGAGAAGTACAGAGTATTGTGCTTCATTGTATTGCAAGCATATCAATCACAAGAAAGGTAATGTAAATATAATGCAGAAATGCAATATAAACTTAAATTATTTATCTTGTGTACATAGTGCTTTAAGGGGTTATATACAGTTGCATAGCCCAAAAAATGGAATTTTCGAGAAGTTTTTTGGATATACACAAGGACATACCCAGATAGCCAACTGAGTGCAAGTTGTTGGCAACTTGCCACAAATATTGCTCATAAGTTCTCAGCAATGTAACAAAAGGGTGTATCCTCTTTTCAGTATGTTCTTGCCAGCAACAGTTTTCAAAATATAATAACAGCAAGTTCCCAACAACTCATTGGCAATAAACTTATATTATTTTTCTCAACTTATGAATAAAAATCATTGCTCATATATTGCTGACTCACTTGTCATAAACATTGGCTACAACAATTGATCGACAATAAAACTCAGCATATTGATACTGAATTGACAAAAACATTTTCGTTGCATTAAATAAAAACAACACAACAGCAATTGGTAAGCAACTTAATCTGTACAATGATTTGCTTTATATTGAGTTTTCACATTTGGCTATCTAGGTACTTACTTTGCAAGTAATTTAGTATCTAAAAGTACCTATATTGTATAACTTATACAATTTTTCAAGATATAATAATGAAAACCACGAATAACAGGCATTTTCGCGAAAGGTGTTTTTTTTTGGCTAGCACGATTTCTTGAAACATATGTAGGTTCCCGGGAAAAAATAGATTAGATCTAATTTAAATCTAACAAGATAAAAAAAATGAAAAAAAGGATCTAATTAGATTCAAATTAAATCTAAAGAAATATAAAGTAGATAGTTAGATCTCTAAATAAATACGAAAGATATCTAAGTAGATCTATGTAACTTGACACTTTATTTTTATTTATTCTTAGATCTACTTTAGATCTACTCAGATCTAGTATATTAGATTTGCTCAAGTCTACTTAGATTTAAGCAGATCTGAACAGATCTGAAGTGACTTAATATAGTAGATCTAAGTAGATGTAAAGTAGATCTAAGAATAACTAAAGTGTGTCAATTTACATCTATTTAGATATCTGTTGTATTTACTTAGATCTATTTTATATCTTTTTAGATTTAATTTGGATCTAATAAGATCTATTTTTCCACTTTTTTATCTCGTTAGATTTAAATTAGATTTAATCTCTTTTTTTCCGGGTTATACGTGTGATTTTTTTACTGAATATAAAATCTGATACAACGATCTTATTAGTAAGATCATTTAAAATCAAAATTTAAAACAAGTTTTGTTAGTATATGCTCTAATCTTGTCCTTAAACAATTTGGTTTTAAATTTTATTTTGAACATAATGACGGCCGTTATAAACAAAAAAATACGACTTTTATGACTAATGTTTTTGTTTTTTTTGTTAATAAAAAACAAATTTTATTTTTAAAAAATCATTTGTTTAAGGATAAGATTAGAGTACATACTAACGGCATCTTTTTGAATTTGATTTCAGATTTAGTTCCGAGAAATCGTGCTCACTGCATAAAAGATACTTTTCGCAAGAATGCCTGTTCTTTTGCTTTTTATTATTATACCTTGAAAAAAAACTGTATAAGTTGTAATAGATATATACTTTTAGATGATAAATTACTTGCAAAAAAATTCTTGTGTGATACCACAGCAGAAAATTCCCGAAAATTTCGATTTTTTGGGCTAAGCAACTATATATAACCTCTTAAAACTACCAAAAAATATATTAACGACAAATTATTTAAATAGAATATCTTAAAACAAAAGTTTTAGTACGGAAATGTTGCAGCTATAATAGATTTTAAGTTAAACAGCTGAAGATCACCCATTACAGTACCTACCCTTACGAAAAAGAACTACTGCCGGCTGTGTGATTATTACATGCGGCCGTGTGATTAATATGGCGGCTCTGTAATGATCGAGGCGAATATTATTGTATCTGTAATAACTTTTAGCAGCGGAATACAAGCGGACATTAC